AAGGTTGAATAGTTCAAAAGAAGCCCAGGTACAACCAAGGTAGGAGTCTTAGATGAAGAATTAATAAGACGTCTGGATTTGATTTGATACCAGAAGGACCTTTCAGTTAGAATATAAAGGCCTAGGTTCAGGTCATGTCAGAGGAGCAGTGATGGCAGGATACTTAACAGACACTTCGTTAAGGTGGACCAGAAGGGCACTGATGGTGGAACTGTTAATAGAGGAGGTCAAACCAGAGAGGCTGGCATCTTAAAACAGTACAAAATTAGATCAGAGGAATTCATGTTGGAATAGTTAGCAGAATTCTCCACTCACAGTCAGACCAGAGGGCTGATGATGGTCGAATAGTTTATAGAAGTCAGGGTAGCAGCAGAATAACAAAAGCTCTGGGTTTTGGTTGAATGTGAAGCCTATCATGTAGGATTAGTTAAGAAATTCTCATGTGGTATCAAAAATGGTCTTGATGCCATGAGAGCCAGCAAAGTCTGAATTTGAGGTCATACCAGAAATGCCTTGATAATTCTAGAGTTCAAAAAGGCCCAGTCAGAGCAGAAAGCAAGGGATGGTGGGATATTAACTAGAGGGCTACATTCAAGTTTGAACCAAAGAACAGTCGGCAGAATTTCATTTCCAAATTAAGACCAGAGGGGTACTGATGATGGCGTGGTTAAGAGTTCCAGATCTGATGTCAAATCAGAGGCACAGTGATGATGGACAAGTTAACAGAGGCCCAGGTTTGACTAAGTTTATTTTTTATTATTTGTTCTTTAATTTCCCCTTAGATTGTAAGTCAAGAAAATCATGAAGATGAATTTAAAACAGAATGTCAACTCTGTTACTTCAGAATTTCACAAGGAGAAAACCCCCCAAGTCATGTATAACAACATCTATGATCAGTCATCTTGAATCCAGATGTAATAAAGAACATGAAAAATGTGAAGAAACGAAGGTGTTAGAGGAAAATGAGGTTCCCCCAAATGATGTTGAGGTTGATTAATCTTAGTTGAATCTGAGCATCTTTTTGGTGCTCCATACTATGCAGGGAAGAGCTAGCAGCAGGCCTGGAAAAGCCTGCTTCAATAGGGGTCCTTGGCTGGCATCTGGAAACTTCTGGGAAATTTCCACCACTCTCTTAACTGATAATAGTGATTTGATGTGCCTGAACTATTCACCCAAGCACTGTGGTTTATGCTAAATAGCTGCATTCTTTCAGGGAGTCTGGAAGTTGGGTATGTGCTAGGCAAGAGGGTACCTATGTGACCAGCCCCCAGTAGAAACCATGGATGCTTCCCTGGTTGATAACGTTTCACATGTGCTATCACACCTGAGGGAATTAAGGGTGTCCTGTGAGGCTTTGCTGAAAGACACCTTGGAGGCTTGTGCCTCATCTCCTCTGGATTTGACCCCTGTGTGCCATTTCCCTTTGCTGACTGTGCTCTGTATATTTTTGCTGTAAAAATCATAGCCGTGCATACAACCATATGCTGAGACTGAGAATCCTTCTAGCAAATCACTGATTCTGTGAACAGTCCAGCTCTCTGGACTATCACCACTATCTCATCACCATTTACCTTAAGGTCTGTCAGATGGAACTACCAGGTACAAATGCTTCTGGCTGCAAGTAACCACACTGTCCGGTAACAGTGGCTTGGATGAACAAGAGGTTACTTTCCTCCATCTACAGGACTGCTGGTGTTAGTTCAACAGCTCAACTATGTTGGGCCAGGCTGGGGTCTCTGTGACTCTGTGGACTGAGCCTGAGGTCTCAAGGTGGTAGCTACACTTCCCATTGATGCATCTGGAGCCAGCAGCCTATGAAGCTAGTGGGAAGGGAGCAACTGGAGCAAGAGCCTCCTGGATATTATGGAACTTCGACATTTTCCAGGTGACTCAGGTCATTGACAAGGGATTTGGGTTATCTGTCTCCCTGCCTACACCCCAGAGTTTCTCTCCTCATTCAGTGCTCAGTAGCTCAGTCATGTCCAACTCTTTGTGACCACATGGACTGTAGCCTGCCTGCCAAACTCCTCTGTCCACGGAATTTTCCAGGCAAGAATATACTCAGGGCTCCTCTCAAATACTGAACATTACTCTGTGGTCTCTGAGCTATTCCAGGTCCTGAATTTGGGCCCTGGGTGGGCTTGGGAGGAGGTGGGAGTGGCTTGGGGTTTCTCTGAGGTGGAGAGAGATTACTCATCCCGTTCCTCCCACAACAGGAGCCATCATCTCAGCCTTGGGGTCCATGGTTGCTCTGCACTGCCTTGGCGCTCTCAGCATCTCTGCTCCCTACTTGCAGAAAACAACCAATGCAACAACAGGTATGGGGCTCACGGAGTGGCGGCCCCAAAGGTGGGGGGAGCCTAGAACCTCAGCCTCTCTGAGGAGCAGGCGGAGTCCTGCAGACTAAAGGATGAAACCTCTGTGGTAGAAGCCAACATTCCCTACCTTAGCCCCTCTGCTGCTACCACCCCATCTCTGCTTGCCTCAACTAATGCAGGGTCTCCTGACTGGTCCCCCTGCTCCTGCTCCCCTCCTTCAGTCTGTTTTCTCCACAGTGCCCAGGGGGATCCTCTCATAATGAAGTCAGACCATGCCCCTACTGTGTTCAAAATCTTCTGGGAACTCACCCCTCACTCAGCAAAAAAGTTCAAGTCTTCACGGTGGCTCCTAAAGCCCTCCAGCATTGGACCTGTCCAACCTTATCTCCTACCAAACCTTGATCCAGCTATACTGGCTTCTATGATGGTCCTTCTGGCAAACTCCAGCCTTGGCACATTTGCACTGCCTTTTCTAAACCTATAATATTCTTCTCCCTCACACACAGTGGCTCTCTCACTTCATTCAGGTATTTGTATAAATTTCACACTGTCAGAGACTCCAGGCTTCCCAGGTGGCTCAGTGGGTAAAGAATACACCTGCAATGCAGGAGACGCAGGAGATGAAGGTTCAATCCCTGGGTCGGTAAGATCCCCTGGAGGAAGGCATGGCAGCCAACTCCAGTATTCTTGCCTGGAGAATCCCACGGACAGAAGAGCCTGGAGGACTACAGTCCATAGGGTTGCAAAGAGTTGGACACAACTGAAACAACTGAGCATGCACAGAGACCCCAGATAGCCAAAGCAATCTTAAGAAAGAAAAATGGAGTTGAATTAGGCTCCTGACTTCAAACTACACTACAAAGCTACAGTAATCAAAACATTATGGTACTGGCACAAAAAAACAATCAATGGAACAGGACAGAATGTCTAGAAATAAACTTACATGCCTATGGTCAATTAATCCATGACAAAGGAGGCAAGAATAGACAATGGAGGAAAGACAGTCTCTTCAGTAAGTGCTGCTGGAAAAACTGGTCAGCTACATGTAAATGGATGAAATTAGAACATCCCCTGAAACCATATACAAAAATAAATTAAAAATGGATTATAAACCTAAATGTAAGACCAGATACTATAAAACTCTTAAAGGAAAACATAGGCAAAACACTCTTTGACATGAATTGCAGCAACATCTTTTTGGATTCACCTCCTAGAGTAATGAAAATAAAAATAAACAAATGGGACCTAATTAAACTTAAAGGCTTTTTGTACAGCAAAGGAAACCATAAACAAAACAAAAAAGACAATTTTCTCCCACAGAATGGGAGAAAATATTTGCAAATGATGTGATCAACAAGGGATTCATCTCCAAAATATACAAACAGTTCATGTGGCTCAATATCAAAACAACAAACAACCCTTGGGATCTCCCTGGGGGTCCAGAGGTTCCACACTTCTCTTTCAGGGGGCATGGGTTCAATCCCTGGTTAAAGAACTAAGATCTAGCATACTGTGTGATGCAGCCAAACAAAAAACAAACAGGCAAAAATGAGCAGACGATCTAAATAGACATTTCCCCAAAAAAGACATACAGATGGCAAAAAAAGCACAAGAAAAGATGCTGAACATCACTAATTATTAGTGAAATGCAATTCAAAACTACAATGAGGTATCGCTCACTGGTCAGAATGGCTATTATCAAAATTCTACAAACAATAAATGGTGGAGAGGATGTGGCAAAAAGAGAAACCCCCCTACACTGTTGGTGGGAATGTAATTTGGTACAACCACTATGGAGAACAATATGGAGATTCCTTAAAAAACTAAAAATAGAGCTACCATATGGTCCAGCAATCCCACTCCTGGGCATATGTCCCGAGAAAAACATAATTTGAAAAGATACATGCACGCCAGTGTTCACTGTAGCACTATTTACAATAGCCAAGACATGGAAGCAATCTAAATGTCCATCAACAAAGGAATGGGTAAAGATGTGATACACAGAGTTTCCCTGGTGGTCCAGCGGTTAACAGTTCACCCTGCAATGCAGAGACACCAGTTCAATCCCTGCTCAGGGAAGATCCCACATGCCACAGAGTAACTGAGCCCTTATGCCACAACTACCAAGCCCACACTCTAGAGCCCATGAGCCACAATTACTGAGCTCACATGCTGCAATTACAGAAGCCCAGGTACCTAGAGCCCATGCTCTGCAACAAGACAGAAGCCACCACAATGAGAAGCCTGCACACCACAACAAAGAGTAACCCCTACTTGCTCCAACTAAAGAAAACCAGTCTGCAGCAATGAAGACCCCCATAGCCAAAAAATAAAATAAATCTTTAAAAATAAGATGTGATACATATATACAATGCAATATTACTCAACCATAAAAAAGAATGAAATAATGCCATCTACAGCAACACGGATGGAGCTAGAGATTATCACACTAGGTGAAGTCAGACAGAGAAAGATAAATATCATATGATATCTCTTATTTGCAGGATCTAAAAAGAACACAAATGAATTTATTAACAAAATAGAAACAGACTAATAGACTTGGAAAAGAAACTTATGGTTACCAAAAGAAAAGGTGGGAAGAAGGAATATTAATAAATTAGGAGTTTAGAATTAACATACATATACTTCTATACATAAAACAGATAACCAACAAAGACCTACTGTACAGCACAGGGAACTTGGTTCAACATTCTGTCACAACCTTATGGAAAAGGAATCTGAAAAAGAATAGATACATGTATATATATAATTGAATCACTCTGCTGTACACCTAAAACTAACACAACATTGTACATCAACCATACTCCAATATAATATAAAATATAAAAAAATAAATAAGGGTTTCCCTGGTGGCTCAGGGGTCAAGAATCTGCCTGTCAATGTAGGAGACACTGGTTCGATCCCTGGTCCAGGAAGATCCCCCATGCCGTGGAGCAACTAAGCCCATGGGCCACAACTAATGATCCAGCGCTCTAGAGCCTGGGAGCCACCACTACTGAGCCCATGTGCTACAAATACTGAAGACTGTGCCACAAGAGAAACCACATCAATGAGAAGTCTGCACACTGCAAATGAAGAGTAGCTCCTGCTCACCGCAACTAAAGAAAAGCCCACACAGCAACGAAGACCCAGCATAGCCAAAAATAAATAAAATTATTTTATAAAATACATAAAAAATAAATTTTACATGGTCAGGAACATCTGTGATCATGATACCAAAAAGAGCCTAATCCTCCCCACCCTCTTGCAACTCTATCCCCTATCCTTTCTCCTCACAACACTCAACTTTAGCTCACCCATTATATATTTTTGTTTATTATCTACCTGACTCCACTAGAATGTAAGCCTCACAAGGGCAGCGATTTTTGTTAGTTTAGGTCACAGCTGTACCCTCAGTGCCTAGAATAGTTACTGGCATACAGTAGATGCTTGATAATGTCCATCCAATGCATCACTGTGTAAAACACGTTAAGTAGTGCCTCTGACATGGCAGATGTTCATAAATGGTTGTTGAATGAATGAATGAATCAATGTACGAAGGCATGAATGAGGCGGTGAACCTCACCCCATCTTGGGTCCTAGAGCTGCCCTATCCCCCATCTCACCCCCTGCAGAACTGGAAGCCAGCCATCGGCACAACCACAGGAACTTTATTTACAAATACAAGACTGGGGCAGGAGGTGGGTGGGAAGGTGAACGGTAGCAAGGCTGGAAGTCTCCTACTTCTGCTCCCGCCTCCAGACGATAACCATGCCACTAGCGTCGCTTGAAGCCAGCAGGCTCTCATCACAGTTAAAGCTGACATCCAGCACGGGCGCACTGTGGCCCTGCAGCTTGTTGACGGCGGCCTTGGCTGCCCGCTCCACATCAAAGAAATGCACGCACATGTCCTCACTGCCAGTCACTGCCCAGATGAAAGGAGAGACCATCAGGAGGTATCGCAGGAGGCAGTGGGGTGCCCTGCATGTGGAGTCTCTGAGGTGTCTGAGGTGTTGACGGATTTATGTCCAAGGTGTGAGGTCCCAGGGCTGGGGGCCCTGTAGTATACCAGCCCTAGATGGGAGGTCACCTAGCTGTGTTGGTTCTGTGTCCAGAGTGTGAGGTTTCTGTGTCCTTTGTTGGTGGGGGTGAGGAGGGGTCTGTGTCTCAGGCTATGAGGTTTCTGGGCTGTTTGGGGGTCTGTGTTCAAAGTGTGAGGTTGCTGGGAGTTTTTGAAGCCCAGGAAGTCAGGGCATTGGGGTATCCTGATATTTGAGCCAGAACAGCACCACCCCTGGTCCCCACTCCTCCCTGGCCACCCAGACACCCCAATCCCATGGGACTCACCCACACAGGCCCCCTGGCGGAAGGACATGAGAGGGCAGAAGATACTGCGCACAGGGTGTGAGCTCTGCTCAATGGGGAAGCTTCTCTTCAGCTGCAGGGTCCCCTCATTGTCCACCACTCTGAATGGAGGAGAAGACTGGGTCAGGGGGGCAGCATCAGCACCGGGGGAAACAAATGGTGGGCTAGCCTGTGTCCCCACCGCCACACCCAAGCTCCTTTCAAGGTTCATGAAATCTAGTTTTGAGACCACTGCATAAACGTATAAAGCATGGGCTAGAGTGCAATAGTGACCATTTGGAAGCTGTATCTGTTGATATATGTGGGAAACCTCTTCTGTTTAACTCACTAGTTCCTTTCTCTAAGGATCCCTAAGAGATCCTGGAGTTAGGACATGCACAAAGAGAGGAAACGGCTGACCAAACTACAGGACCCCTGCACTGTGGAACACCATGTGGCCATTCAAAGGAACGGACCCGAACTACTCCAGGGAGTCTGGGGCATTTCCACAGCAGTTTGGTAAGGAAAGCTTTCTGGCATACAGCCCAGGCTGCAAACTGCATTAAGGTGACATAATTGTGTGGAGATAGTAAAACTCCCTGTTTCAAAAAGAAAAAAAAAAAAAAGGGAGGAAAGAAAACATGCCACTGCTCTAAGGGCATGCTAAGTCACTTCAGTCGTGTCCAACTCTTTGTGACCCCATGAATGGTAGCCTGCCAGGCTCCTCTGTCCATGGGATTCTCCAGGCAAGAATACTGGAGTGTGGAGAAAGAAATGGCAACCCACTCCAGTATTCTTGCCTGGAGAATCCCCATGGACAGAGGAGCCTGGCGGGCTACAGTCCATGGGGTCGCAAAGAGTCAGACATGACTGAGTAACACAAATCTTAAATACTAATCTATAATTATTTGCAATCAAGATGGTTTTGTTTCTTTCCTATTAGAAATAAAGCTACTATAAATATAAAAAAAAAAAAGAATACTGGAGTGGGTTGCCATGCCCTCCTCCAGGGGGGTCTTCCCAACCCAGGGATCGAACCGACGTTTCTCAAATCTCCTGTACTGGCAGGTGGGTTCTTTACCACTAGCGTCACCTGGGAAGCTCTAAGGGGGCTCTAATCCATTTTATGGCTCAGTTTGCTCATCTATAAAATAGATATGATAATAGCACCCACCTTATAGGGTTTTTGTGAGGATTAAATGAGGTGATATGTATAAGGTGCTTTGAACACAGCCTGGTCCCAGTAATTGCTATGAACATGCTGGCTACTGCTATTACTATTACTTCTTCTATTGCATTACTGCTCCTATTGATGTTGCTGTTCTCATATTATTAGGAGACCAGATCTCCACCCTCAAGGAAGTTAATCTCCACCCTCCACACCTCAGTCTGCTGGGAAGAGAAAGCTCTCATGCCAGTCTGACAGAGGGGACAGGCTCCCCACCTCCAGGTGGCACAGAAAGGAGACCCACCTGTAGAGCAGCAGCTTGTTGAGGCAAGCATTGATGAGTAGTGAGGGGTCCCGGGCCTCACGGCTGACCCAGGAGCGGGCAGAGATGCTGGTCACGGGGCTGCCCTCGTGCACCACCAGTCGCTTGGCTTTGGTCAGCTTCCCTGTGGCAGCAGAGAGGAGGCAGAGGTGAGTGCTAGGGCTGTGCACCAGGAGGGTGGGAGTACAAGCACCCAGATACAGGCCAGGGGCCTGCCTGTGCGTGCTAAGTTGCTTCAGCTGTGTCCAACTCTTTGCGACGCTATGGGCTGATCCTGCCAGGCTCCTCTGTCCATGGAATTCTCCAGGCAAGAATACTAGAGTGGGTTGCCATGCCCTCCTCCAGGGGCTCTTCCCAACCCAGGGGTGGAACCTGCGTTTCCTGCAGCTCCTGCATTGCAGGATTCTTTACCACTGAGCCACCAGGAAAGTCCGGGAGCCTGCCTACCTGTGGCCATGTCAAAGAGGAAGGAGAAAACACTGCCGCGGTCATCACCCGCCCAGAGAAGTCGGCCAGGGGCATCAAAAGACAGAGCGAGGACACGGCCCGTCAGCTTGCTGGAACCACCCTTCACTTTCTTGCCCGTGGAGATGTTCATGACATGCACATTGTGCTTGGCATTCCCCACCTGTGGGTGAAACCCACATACCATCACCCTGCTCCCAGCTAGTCCTCCTTCCTTGAGGCTGCAGTTGATGGGACTGGCTGATCCCTTATGCGCTTTCATTATAGGAGGGTGGGTCGGGAGACTGCAAAGTGACCCAGGCTGGTAATCCTCCCCAGCTGGTTCCTCTTGCAATTTGACCAGAACAGACAGCTGCTCCCAGAACTAAAGGGAACTGTCTGGTCTTTCTTGGAGTCTTCGACTAGTCTAGGACAGAGGATCCCAGAGCACGGACTCACGGGGCCAACTCCCCCTACTCCCTGCTCAGGGCTGGGCCAGACTTTTCATTTCCTTCCCCTGCCCTCTGACTCTCCATCCAGGTCAGACCACCAAAGAGCTGCCACTGAGACAAGGTTTCCAACCAGTAACCTTGCTCCCCAGCCAGCAACCCCTGCAGCTGGAAAATGGTAGGACTACTGCTGATGGGGCCCTGACCCTACCCACAGACTGCCCCATCCCCACAGTGAGCCCACCCCAGTCCAAGAACTGAGACCCCAGTCCTGCCTTGTTTCCCTCTGAATCTGGCCAAAGGAGGATGGAGGTGATGGACTAGAGGGGACTCCTTATCCTCATTCCCTGAGACACGCCCTCCCGGCTTGGCATCCCTCCCTTGGCGAGGGGGCGCCCTGGAGCCTGACCACAGTAAGGTTGTTGTTGACCGGCTGGAAGGTGCAGCAGAGCAGTTCGGCGCCGTCAGGGTCAGGGATCTCCCGGATGCAGCGGCCATCCTCAGAGGCCCAGATGCGCATGGTGGCATCAAGGGAGGTGGACACAAGGATGTCATTGGAGAGAGACCAGGCAAAGTCGGAGACCCCGCGGGTGTGGCCCCGCAGCACTCGGAGCACAGTGGGCGGGGCAGGTACCAGCTGGCACAGTGAGATGCTGCCATCAAGTGAGCAACAGGCCAGGCGGTGCCGGTCATCATTGGCGAAGCGCACCCTGGGGACTGCAAGGCCAAGGAGCCATTTGGGAGAGTCAGCATGCTCACCAAGTGCTTTCATTTATGGAAGCTTCTGACCTGTAAGCTAGGGCCAAGATCCACTGCACCAGGCACAGTGGCCTCAGCAAAGGGCTTTCCTTGGCTGAGAAAGAGAGCGGGAACCTGAAAGGCCCTCTGCCAAAAACTCCCTAAATCTTGGCAGGTACCTTATGGACTGTAAATGCTTTCTGTAGTGTGAAATGGCTTCCACATCTCAGTTAGCACTTTCTAATTACCAAGGTCTTGGCAGTTTGCAAAACC